TCTTCAAAGGCATTGCCTACTACCCTAAATATACTGAACTATACTGAAATATATGTCTCCTATTCAGCTACGTACGCCCAGTTGTGACTAACCAATCGGCTGAGAAGTAATCATCAAGTTAAATGTTGACTGTATATATTGAATATATTGCCTCATATTATCTAGATATTACACGCAAACACGAAATTGTGTGACCTTCTGTTTAACTTCGTCTGTTAGTCATTTGACGTCCAAAGTGGACTATAATGAACTCTCTCGCGACCGCCTATTGACCTCTACATCGACACTACAGCACGTGCTTTTGCATGAGCCTACAAGGTCATATGTGGTCTTCATGTCCTTCGACTGAATTGTGTGTCGAGCCTCTTGTTGAATCGCGAATCGTTTTATTGCCTAGGCTAACTACTAGCTGTGCTTAAACATGACGCGAAATTCGGCTGCTCAGCCTGATCAGTCAACGGGAAAATTTGGAGCACAACAGTTTACGTGCTGTTACTCGGGTTATTTTGAAAAAGGGTAAGCAGGCTCCCAGACCATCACTGACTTTGAATCGTGCTGATGTTTGCCTTGATGTCCTTTACCCTCACCCTTCGGAGGTGCCTGTATCCCAGGGGGTTGCGTTAATAGATAAAACTCCAGCAGCTGCGATCTTCAGGCCCCGTTGCTTAAGAGAATCAGGAACAGTTTATTTTGTACAGAAAAAGCGCAGAATAGGTAAGAGGAAATTGGCTGTCCGACCGCACGTCCAGCCGTGAAGAGGTGCCAGTTCGAAGTGATGAGCACGTAGGCAGTCATCGCAGTGAGGTCCCCTATGAGTCGGCCTTCACAAGGATGTGTCAGAGGCACTAGGTCAATCTACGAGTGCACACATGTTAGTGGCCACCGTGAGGGACAAGCGTTCGAAACGGAGCATGCGGCTGTTCAACAGGGAGATTGAGACTTGCAATGACGTGACCTCATGTCTGGCGTGACGCCGAAGATTTAGCCACTACAACTGAACTTTCTGTCAATAGTAGAGAATATTCGAGTCCCAGGAAGCAGTTCAGAGGAAGAAGATGC